TTCGCCCAGACCTTAACTGAAGAGGAAGGCGTTGAAACGGTAAGGGGTGTGGGTAACATAGTACCACACGAGGCCACGACTGCCTCGGATGTCGTAGCGACGACATCCCTAGACGTGGGCAGCAAAGCTCCCCGTCACAGATGCCGTTGGCAAAGACGACGCCGCCGCCTCAAGTCGGATCCGAACTTCGTTCCGATCGACGTCGCTTCGAGCGACTCGGAGTCCAGGGCCCGGGCTACTCCGCCAAGGGCGGTGGAAGAGTGTTATCACATCTTCGATGGCGAGACGGGTTTACCCGTCAAGGCATCTGGTGTCCACTTGGAACCGTTGCTAGAGGTTGCAGAGATACTGAACGTCGAGGAAATGACGGCTGAGTCTTTCCTGGCCAACCTCAAGGCTGGAGCGATTGCCGAGATGGTGCTCATGAGACCTGAGACCACTCGGGAGGAGCTGAACTCCTCCTCTGTCTTGGACGAGAACGTATTGGTAGACCTAAACAAGCAGAGTCAGACGCGCTTGGGTTCTGAGATCCTTAAGAACCCCAATGATCCGGTGTACCCTTTGGTGACGGAGTATGCGGACGTGGTGAACAAACACCCACCGACCCAACTCCTACCGGTTCGAGGCGTACGACATGAGATTGATCTCGTGCCTGGCACAAAAAATTGTGTCACGAGGCAATGGCCTCTCCCGCACGAATAGTGCGAGGTCATTGTTGCCCTTCTTCGCGCGAAAGCGAAGACGGGCATGGTGCCGGAGTCGAAATCTCAGCACTCGACGCCAACTTCATGCGTTCGGAAGTCGAAAGGAAAGTAGCGTCTACTTTACGCTTATAACAAGCTGAACAACGCAGCGGTGCCGGTCCAAACACCAATTCCACGAAAGGATGCGTTGTTAAACAGCATGGCCGGAAGCGTACTGTACAATGCGCTGGAATTGGTAGACGGATACTATCAGATCCGAGAGAGCGACGACCGCTCACCGGTGCCCACCCCAAGCGGCATGCTTTGGGAGTAGCTCGTCATGCCACAGGGCTTGTCTAACGCCCCGGCGACGTTCAATCGCCTGGTGACGCAATTGTTCCGCCCATTACGTACCTTCGTACAGACATACTTCGACGACATATTCGTCCATAGCCGTGCCAAGGGAGGCAAGACGGCCATCGAGGTGTATCTAGGACACCTCCGTCGAGTGTCTCTCAGTACGTTGGCCGAAAGCCACACGTTATGCATTTGATTAGGTTTAACTATGCTAGATAGTTAAACAGATACATTTACCCCTAGGCGGCTTGGCCGCAATAATAGTAAATAAAACACTTCTGGCTTTGAGGCATAAAAGTTAAGGTATTAACTTTGAGCCCTGGTCTTGGGCTGTAAGTGTCCTTTGGATAAGGAATTTAGTATTAGTGACTCTTTGAGTCGGACGTCTTCCTCTGACGCTAAAGCTAAGGCAGCCCCGCTGCACTTGGTAGCACTTGTAGTCAATCCGGCTCCTGAGTCGGTTGACTATATCCTCTGCGAGGATGGAACACCCCGTGTTCGTGAATTTGCCCCCGGCGCAGCAGGACGCGCTTACTAAGCTTATGTCCTTGCTTGGCCCGGAGGGCGTGGCTCATCTTGCATCGCAAGGTCCAGAGGCGGTCACCGCCAGGCTGGAATCGTTCTCCCACTACGAGAACGCGCCCTTGGAGTATGTCCAAGAGAAGATGAGCTCCGCAACGGCGGCGGCGTCGATGACGCGTGAAGAGTCTATGAGACTGAAACCGCTCATGGTGAGCGTAAAAACCTTCGAGGGGAAGGATGGAGAGAATCTCCTTCTTTGGACCCGTGAGGTCGAGATGGCCATGGGATCGGCCCTGCTCCAGTCTGAGCATCAGCGCGTGCGCTGGCTATCTCCAGGCTTGGAGGTCGCGCTCGCGAATGGGCACTAACGTGCGGCACGTCTGTTGACGCTGCATTTCCCACTTGGGATCAGCTGAAGCAACAGCTTTCGCGCGTGTTCGCGCCGCCCAATCAGGCGTACCGTTTCCGGTCGAAGCTCCTTGCTACCCGCCAGGGTAAAAAGGATTTATTGGACTATGTCCAAGAGTTGAGAACTCTTATCGCCGGAATGGCGGCGGACCCTCTTCCTGAACTGGTCAGCGTGACCGTGTTCATGGAGGGACTTCGTGTGAGCGCAGCTCGAACGGAAGTGTTCCGTGTACACCTTAACGCTTTCGAAGAGGCGGTGGATGTGGCGTTGATGCCGAGCACAACTTCAGGTCGGCGCGACCTGGTTAGAGCGCTGGTAGCGCAAGCTCTTCGAGCGGTCCAGAGACGATGGACCTCAGCTATGCTGAAGATGAAGAAGCGGAGCTTCTTGCTGCGGAGCAGCGCGCCGGCATCCGCCAATGCTTTGTGTACAATAGCACTAAGCACTTGAGGGCCTATTGTCCTCTGCGCAAGAAGCGCGAGGCTCCGGCGAGCCAACCCTCCGGGTCATCGCCGAGAAACGGCAACTCCCAGTAGGCGCGGGGCGGCCTACTGGGGAAGAACTGAGTTCTGTTGTGCTTCGAGGAGGTAGAGGGCAACGGGGCTCAGCCCCGAAGAGAGCTGAGCTCTCTTACGAAAAAAAGTGTGTGCAAGCCGGGCTTGCTGGTCGTTCAAGCGAACGTGCAGGGCTTTACAAAGCCATGGAGAGTCTTGATTGACTCGGGAGCCTCGGGCAACTACGCCCGTCGCTCCACCCTGGAAGGGAGTCAGCTGTATGCTGAGGCACTGGAAGTGCCAACGAGAGATACGATCTCTGTCCGTCTCGTGATGGGGACACTGGTAACTGTGTCGAAGGTCTCTGTCGACCTTGGAGTGAAGTTTGAGAACTTCGATAGCGTGGAACGCTGTTTGGTCTTAGACCTGGATGCGAAGTATGACCTCATCCTTGACATGGCATGGCTGGAACGCCATGAGCCATGGATCGACTGGAAGTCGAAAACGCTGGGTGCGTCGCACCCTGCTCCTAGTGGAGCTTTGGTGAATCATGAACCCACCTCTGCTAGGAAGCAGAAGCGCTTTTCGCGCGAGCACAAGGCCGAGGCGGCCGTAGTGCTGGACATTGGTATGTCCGAAATTGTTAGCAACGAGGTCGCTGTTGCCCTG